CGTTACTGCATGATACAGCAACGAGGGGTTCGGCTCGTCAGTAAACCCCCTTACTGACTTCGCCAAAAGGCGCTGCATACACTTCGTCATCCTGCTGTGGTTGGCCACGCGCGTTGCATTTTGGCCTTGAGATAAATACAGTTCGCATCCAAATCGATATGCCTGCCGATTCTTGCGTCATCAGAGTAAATTGTCTCCAAGAGTTCACGGCCTTTTCCGGTCTGGCAAGTATCAACAATTCGTGTGTTCTCCCACGTGTATTTTTGAACGGTTTCTAGTTTATGCGTGGTCACCTGAGATAAGTGGTCTCATCCTCTGACTGCTAATTGATGTTCATGTATGCGGGTTGAGGCGCATATAGCAGTTTGGCAACATTAAACTGCCTCACAGCTGGCACAGGGGATTATGTATACGACACCTATTCCTTCAAGTTAGCCAACCCTGTCCTTAGGGTGTACAAGCTGTGGGCGTAGAGTGGTTACGGGCTGGTTTGCCACTCGTATCTTATCTTTTCTTAGTATGGGATAGTTTGCCAGGTCAGTGTTGTGGAACTCTGGTTGGCATTATTATTTGAAACGCCTTTTTTGGATTCCTGTCGTTTCCTGCATTGGCGAACAAAGTTGCTGGGATATTCATCCTTGGAAAATAGTTGAAAGAGGTATTTTTATTTTTTCGTCATCAGAGTTGTGGTTTTTGACTCCATATAGGGGGCTGTAGATAGATCGTGTTTTTTGGGAGATTGGGTGTTTGCTCCTAACATGTAGAATGACCTCCGAATATTCTTCTTTACGATATACTGATGTACGGAGTGGTCCATCAGTATTTCGATGTACAAGGACATCCAGAAATGGAAGTTTTCCAACAACCTCCGTTTCGTATGTGAATTCAATTACTAGAAATGTAAGTTTGAGCTTCTTATGGAGGCGGTCTAAGTAATTCTTCTTGATGATGACAATGTTGTCATCTAAATAGCGTAGCCAAAATGTTCTTTGCCTTGGGGAAGGGCTATTAATTCCAACGTCTGCACTACGGCTTCGGCCAGGAAGCCGCATATGGGTCAACCAATGGGGACCCCCTTAAGTGGCTGGTATTGCCGATAGAAGCGAAATGTGCGTAAGTCGGAATTTACATTGCTCGATTCGTGAAGTTTCAATCTAGTTATATCAACCCCTTCAACATACAAAAGGAAAAGTTAGATGTGAGATTGCTGTATAAGAGTTTATGGTACAGGCAGACATATGCATATGTTCTAGAGAGGCGGTAGGAAGGGACGGTGTTTGCGATTGCACGGGCCCATGCCAATACGGTGGTTGATGCTACCTCTGTTGGAGTACAACGTCTCTATAAATTCCAGTACCTATTTAATGTTTGCCATGGTGGTCACTTTAGTATTGCCCAAATAAAAACTATGGTCAAACTCCGTGGCGTGCTCCAACTCGGTGAAACGGGAGCATGTCGAGGGATAACTGAGTTATGTTCTCCCATGCGGGTCCCAAGTCGTCGACTCTTATGTCCGGTGTAAGCGTAATGACCATTAGCACATGGATTGCACGGCTAGTTTGTAACAGTATATGGATATATGGTCGAAAGCAGGTGGCAACGCCGACTGTCAGCAACAACAGCAGCCCTACTATTCTGACGATGGAAACGCGAAAGATTCCGAAACGTCAGTATATATAATTCGGTCTGTGAAGTCGTCTCGTTTACTTTTCATTTTCTATGGGTGATGATGACGGGGATGCAAGTTTTCTTTCGCGGTGATGGACGTTTTACCATAGTCCTGGCGTTTCTGCTTCTGCATGACACAGCTGCAGGGGATTTAACCCTCCAGTGTGGCTCCAATATACAATATAGGTATCCGGATGCCGTTTGCCGACCAAAACTGCCAGGCTGCATAAAATCAATACCTTGATGTACTCTGACATCAGCTAGTTGTGTATTGTTTAGAGTTTTCTCTTGACAGTAAGACAGTCGACCACTGTGTGTGGGTTCTTCGATCTGAAAACTTGCTTATTGCCTATTATCTGCTTCGGTCGGCTACTCCTACTGTGAAAATGATTTTTCATCTATGCGACTGCAGGGGGGGCTAACTGGCTTGAAATTTAAACCTAAGGCCCTTACAGACATACATTTGAGAGCATCTATCGGTACCGTAAAGGAAAATAATCTCCATTTATGACTTCCATAGAAACATTTCTTGCGGTTCGTTCACAAAGTTAGTCAGCCGTATACGGGTCTTCGAAGCCTCAGGCGCCTAGTCTAGGAGCCATACAGCAATATATTCCTGTCTTTGGACATGACTTACCTCCTCATAACTAAACTTGGGTCGGCAGACAAGTACGCCTCAACTGCACTCGCATTTATATTTTTCTTGATTGGCTGGATAAAACTTTTCATTCGTGCGATGTTTTCCTGCTGTAGATGTCAGCGGCTGTTGCCTTACCAATGCACCCGATGCTCTTTATGGGCAAATTTCTTCACCTCGGTAAAAGAAGAGTCTACGCTGAGATACGGCCTACCTCAAAGACTACACTTGAACGTGGTCCGGTCATCACAACCTATGTTGACGTTGTGACGGATATCGGTCCATTCTCCTTATCAAAGCTCGACTACGTGGCAGGCAAATCCGAACTCATTCTACTTGACATACAAAACGGTAAGATTTTACTCCTATCGACCGCGAAGTGTTACAGTGCTGTGGATGCTGTGAGTCCTCTCATGGGTTACTTGCTGGGCTAAAAAAATCTGATGCTTTCTTTGGAATCGTACTTTGTTTGCAGCGAGTTTTTCACTCCGACTAACAAATCCACTTTGCGTGTCCATCGACTTTAACTGCGCACAGAGAAAGCTTTCACCAACAGATGCACGTTTTTCAAGAGTTGTCGCAGCGTGCAACTCCCTGCCCGTTGTTGTTGTGCGCTCCTCATAGGTGGCCTACTTTAAAATTAACTTTGACAGGCTTCAAGCAATTTATATGTCAGCACACACGCACATAGAAAAACAACGAACACTGAAATCACACTGATTACTTACCATAATTAAGTACCCTTTATTATTTATTTTTTAAACGTTCGGGCAACTCAAATTGGGGCAGCCAAATGAATGCCCGTCCCATGTGATCTTAAGCACTCCTGTTTCTATCCGACACAACGACAGTCAGTCGTATGAACGGAGATGTGTTTCAATAAAGCGTCTGGTGAACATTCAAAGACTGATCAAATCCTCTGAGCTTCTTTATCCGCAGACGAATCGTAATCGGTAGATGCTAAGGTATGGTGCAGAAATTTCCACTTCACCGTAATAATAGCGAAAATTCGATTCCCAGGTGGTAAGTCAGAAGGAGAAAGGCAGTCACTGGGGGAGGTTTGTTTGTGATCTCACGTTTCGGATAGTCCTCTTGTCTATCCATCTTCAGAGAGTGAATACTCTGGCTCCTG